ACCCTCAAACGGAGAACAAAAAGAACTTTGAAGTATATCAAGACCTTAAAAAATGTCCAGCATTTTTTGATATGACTTCTTTTGTGTTCAACAGAAGATAGAAACTTATATAAGTTTAAAACAAATAAAAGGTGAGTAAATGATGATGATTTTCAGCTTTGGGTGGACTGTCCCCTTTAGGGTGGTAAATGCAAATCGAGCACAGGGGTTTACAGTAGCAGAATAAGAGCTTGAGAGCAGAGTTTGGAGGCGGTGAAGTGGAAACACGCTCCATTGAGCTGCTCATGGCGAGGGTCTCTGGTTACTGAAACACACAGCACTGAGGGCCCCTCTTGACCTTTAGACTTCCTAAAACAAAAGGAAGCTCTGTACTCACAGCCTGGCATCACCTCTCATCCCAGACAAAAATGTTAATTAAAGCCTGGAACAGTGAGAGAGATGAAAAGGTGGAGAGAGGAAGAGAAAGGAGAGGTGGCCGTGAGAGCAAAATGGGGTCTAGCGAGAGAAACGCACTATTGTGAGGCAAAGAGAATGAAACAGGAGACAGAAAGAGAGTGAATATGGGAGAAGAGGAAGCTCGGCAGAGAGAAAATGTACCGGGAGGATGTCCTCTGCTCGAAAAGCAGAATTTGTTTTTATGACAAGTGCCGATGACATAAAACAGAACTAAATAAAACTGATGCAAACAAAAAAAAAAAAACACTGGAATGACGTCCTCTGTTAAGAAAACTCAAAACTGGAAGTCATCTTCACCTCCTACATTTCGAATGTGGATTGCAGACATGACTTCGGTAATACAGATTGAAAGACTGAGATTTCTGAGGACTCATTCTATTCTATTTTACAGTGTTTAGGGTTTATTTCTTTACTATCTGGATGAGCAAACCAGCCACTTAACATTCAGAGACTTAATTCACTTCTTTTACATATTTAATTTGACTTCTTTACTCTATTTTCTGTTGTCACTCGATAAACTATGTTGTCATTGTTTTTTGTTCGTTGACTTATTGTATGGGATTTGTCCGAGACAGTGCCAAGGGTTGTGTGTGTGTGTGTGTGTGTGTGTGTGTGTGTGTGTGTGTGTGTGTGTGTGTGTGTGTGTGTGTGTGTGTGTGTGTGTGTGTGTATGTATGTGTTGTTTTGTGGTTGTTCTTGAAAAATCCAATTAAATATAATTATGGGCGAAGCAGTGGCGCAGTAGGTAGTGCTGTCTCGCCTCACAGCAAGAAGGTCGCTGGTTCGAGCCTCGGCTCAGTTGGCGTTTCTGTGTAGAGTTTGCCAACAGCACCTTTAGAACTACGGTTTCTGAGAAAAATGGTGACGGGTTCAATGCTTTTTTTTTTTTTTAACCATGTATAAATATACACACATAAAGGCCTCTAACCAATCCTTCCAGAATTTTCCAGAGACATTTTTTCATAAATATTTGTCATAAATATAGTCTAAAATGACAAATGTAGTGATGACAATTTTTTTCTCAAAACAAATGTACTTATTTGCTTCCATTCTTGTGTTTTACTGTGAAAATACAAACATTTTTAAAATTTTCGTTACTGATCTGAATAATAATTAATTCATCTATACCACAGGTGTCAAATCCAGTTCCTGGAGGGCCGGCAGCTCTGCACAGTTTCATTCCAACCCTAATTAAACACACTTACCTGTAAGATTAAAACAGGCCTGAAGGACACAATTAGTTGGATGAAGTGTGTTAAATTAGGGTTAAAGCTAAACTGTGCAGAGCTGTGGCCCTCCAGGAACTGGATTTGACACCTGCGCTCTATACTCATTTATAATCACTTAGAAATAAACTCTGTTGTTTATTCATTTTCTTGTCAGCTTAGTTTCTTTATTAATCCGGGGTCGCCACAGCGGAATGAACCACCAACTTATCCAGCACGTTTTTACGCAGCGGATGCCCTTCCAGCTGCAACCTATCTCTGGGAAACATCCACACACACTCATTCACACACACTCATACACTACGGACAATTTAGCCTACTCAATTCACCTCTACCTAATGTCTTTAGACTGTGGGAGAAACCAGAGCACCCGGAGGAAACCCACGCGAACGCATGAAGAACATGTAAACTCCACACAGAAACGCCAACTGAGCCGAGGCCCGAACCAGCGACCTTTTTGCTGTAAGGCAACAGCACTACCTACTGCGCCACTGCGTCGCCCACTCTGTTGTTTACTACAGTAAAATGCCCATCAATAAACTTAAACTTACTTGGCAAATATTTATTCAACAGATATATTAAATAACATCATCACATAATATTCCTCATAATACCCTGAGGTCAGCTGTCTATATTCAGACTAACAGCTCTATGGCCACTCCTTAATTTATCTGGCCCTGAAACCTGTCTCTTTTTCACCACTCCCATGAACAAATAAAGCTGCTTGTCATTTTGAGTACATAAGGTTGCAGCAGGTACAAAACGTTTGATCCTATTGGCTTTTGTATAGTGATGTATGTGTTTTTATGATGACCTGCGACTCCCTTAAATGACAGAAACCAGCACATATTTGCTCAAATGTACAAGTGCTCCATGGACAAAATCAATGCAAAACCAAAATACGATCAGTACTTCCTTTGATCAATATGTGGCTGAATCAGACTGACACTTAGAAAAATTAACTTGTGACAGAGATCTAATCATTTCGGGAAAATCTGAAATCCTCTGTGGGAGTTTTTGGAAAATAATATATGTATTATTAACCTCTTAAACTCCAGTGCTATTTTGGGATTTCCGCCTGGATTTTGCCAACTCAAATTTAAAAGCTTCCCAAATCCACATGCAGAGGTGTAAATGCAAAAATGTGGTATCATTTTTAAGAAAACCCTTTGAATTTTCATAAAACACCATTGGAAGTGTTCAAATATCTGTATATGTTGTCTGTGTTATAATAAACACCTAAAAAAAGAGGGTTTTAACAAAAGTTATTGTATTCCAACTGATGAGAGGTGCTATATAAGCCACAGGGACTGACCATTGTTTCGATATTTCACTATTCTTTTGTTTGATCAAACATAATTCACCGTGTTTGGACCACATCAGACATATTAAAGGATTACTTATGCACATCAGCTCAAAAACAGAGGAGAATGGCCCTGAAGTGCACAGCATAAGGTAAGAGATGACAGCTGTCTGTGCTATCTGGGGCTGCTTATTGATCATAAATATATTGTTTTCACTTCTGCGCCATGGAAACAACGTGATTCATTCGACAACTGTTTGATACTGTGTATTTAAGTGTAAATAACTTTTGTACAGTGGAATAAAAACCAAAGGTATGCATATGTACATAAAATATAGATTCTACACTTTTCAAACGAAACCACTTACGGCAGTCTGGTGCAATGCTAGCCCTTTAACTCTGAAAGCGAAAGTCGATGACTTCTGGAGTTTAACTGGTTAAATATTTATATTTTAAAAAAAACTCTACATTTTGTTAATTTTACCCTTTATAAAATAGTTGAATTACTAGCTGATGAACGATTGTTTAATAGATGGCTCTATTATTGTTTATGAGACACCTATACTATTTACTGCTGCTATATACTGTACATTGCAAATCTTCAAATATAAGAAAAAAGAAAAAATTATATATGATTATTACAAAAAACATTTTTTGTTTCAGCTGTTAAAGGTTTTTTTATGTGATTTCTTTTAAGATAGTGTAAATTGTAATTTACTTCTGTGATGTATATATATATATATATATATAAGGATATTTTATAATTTTAGAGAGACAGCGCAACCGTGACCATCAGCCTGTCATTGAGCAGAACAAAGACGGTTGACGTTCCGCCACAAGGTGGCGACAGAGGGGAGCAGGGGAGGCTAACTCAGTGTATATTTCAAACTACAGCTGATCAAATCACTATAAAGCAGGTAAGTGACATTCTAAATCGACCTCTCTCTTTTGTACGTTGTAGTGCTGTACTTAAACTATAGTAATCTGGTAGTGTTTGCTTTGCTTTAGCTTTTCAGTGTTGATTATTGTGATCTCCCGATTGCAACAGAAATACTGTGAAATTTCTGTAGACTGATGGCATTTCATGCCGTTCAGCCTTATAATCTTAAAATGTAAGTAAAATCAGCTGTTTTGTCATCACTTTAGACATTACGCTCTAACGTGAAAGCTCTAAAGTGACGTTTGTGAATTAGCAAAGGTTTCTGCTGTTTTAATAATCGTTTTAAACAATCGTGATTATAATTACGACCAAAATAATTGTGATCAAGATGTTTCCCATAATCCAGCAGCCCTAATCATTTGCTGACTTTGATAATTATAAATAACTGAGGACAGCGCTTTGCTGTGACTGTGTGTGCTGCAAAGCACTGAAGCTTGACATAATTTCATAAGAAAGTCATGTTCCTATGAATCACTAAATACCCTAAAACAAATATTTTAGCAAATAAATGTGACCATGTTGATTAGCCATTAGATGCGCTCTGTTCTCAACTTACTGGCATTGCTTTTATTCATGAATGAACATAATGAAATGTGCAAGCTGCTGTCATGTGAGGTAGGATGGAATGGATTGTCATAGAAAAAAACTCACAAGACTAAATCTTAGTGACTTAAGTGTGACTCAAGTCCAAATAGTGGACTCAAATTTCACTCTCTGTCAAGGGCAGGCATTAAAGGGATGCATCACCAAAAAATAAAAACGGTATCATTTACTTATCCTTCTCTTGTTCCAAACCGGTTTGATTTTCATCCATTTGTTGAACACAAAAGAAGACGTTTTAAAGAAAGCTGAAAACGATTGTAACCATTAACTTTCACAGTATTTGTTTTTCCCACTACGGATGTCAATGATTACAGGTTTTCAGCTTTCCTAAAAATAACTTAGTGTTTAACAGGATAATGAAACTTATACATGTTCATATCTACTTAAAGTCGAGAAAATTAGGAGTACGTTTTCATTTTTCGGTGAACTATCCCTTAAATATTGAAATTAAGTAAAGGTGAGAGGATCCTACCTTCCAGTTGGCCAGCTGTTGAGATTCAATGATCTTGATAAACGCTCCCATCAGAATCCCTGAGAAGTCAAACATAACCGTGAATGGTTAGATTACATGCAATGCATCATAGAAGCACAAGTTCTACATTTTCAGCCTATAAATGATTGCTTGGAATGGTTTCTATCAATAATGATGCCAATAGTTTGGTGTCTTTGCACTTTACTCTTAAATAAATGACATTTAATTCCACAGTTTGTACAGAACTGTAAATAAAAGCTTTATTTTCTATAATTACGGTTTTAAAAGGCAGCTCTTATTATAATTCACATCAAATTCATGGTTTCAATCAGCTGATATGATTAATAGCCAATACATCTCTAGTAATTACAGGGTTACTGCAAGTTTCATTAAGTCAAATTTAAGACTTTTTAAGACCGTTATGCAACAAATTACAGACTAAACACTAAGAATTTTTTTCTAACGGCCTGGTTGTTTTACTTGCCTCATCAAAGAAAATGTAATTCAGTTATTTCTTAGCCATATATATTAAAAAACATGTGTCAAAACAAATAAACAAACGCTATTGTTTACATGGACCTTTTCTTTAACATTTTTAACACCATAATAAAGTAAATATATGCATAACAGTCAGTCAAGGTCAGTGTCCCCCACCAGATAGCTATAAATGAATGGGGAACTTTTAAACAAATGTCATTGGAAAGAAAGAATTAAACCATATTGGCAAAATGCTGATGATTGGATGGGTGATGGCCCGATTGTTTAACTTTACATAGACATAGGAAAATTAGGATCTGTTTAAGATGATTTAAGATCTACAACACAATATTTTGGTAAAAACAGGACTTTTTTGAAGTCTAAAACTTTTACTTTAAGACATTTAAAAACCACACAGACACCCTGAATTAGATCAATTACAAGGAAAAAGTAAACAAAATGTGTTGAAACGATATTTTTGTAGGTTGTAACAATGCAAAATACTTTTTTCTTTCACCTTAATGTCAATCCTAACCAGATCCTTCTTTCATAAAACTTTAAATAAGATTTTATGACAAATAAGAATGTTTTTTTTATTAATGAATAGTTCTTGAACAATTAATATGAATAAATAGCATTCATTGAATTATAATATGAATTAACAAAATGTCAGTTAAGCTGATTATATATATATATATATATGTAAGTATATACAAACATACATACATACATACATACATACATACGTACATACATACATACATACATACATACATACATATATACATATATACATATACAACACTAAAAATGTTGTTTCTTTGGGCTACGATTCCGCTCCAATAGGCCTGAATCACCTGACAGTCCCATATGCAATGAATATAATCCCCTACATTGAATTTATGTCTTAACTGAGGTGTGATATGAATTCTATGAAGGATCCTGAGTTGAATGGCTCTGGCCCTATTGCAAACTAGAAAGCTTATTGGCTAGAGACCAAACATCTCCTATTCTTCTTCTAAAATATCTAGCCTAACCCTAAGCTCTTATCCTCAAATTAATTTGAGATGGGAGTTACAGACAGTGTTATAAGAGGACAGGGTCATATAGAAAAAAGAAATCAATTTTTGTTTAGGGGGATATAACAGAAATTTCTCAATTACTGTAAATGAGTATTTAGAAATAAGTGTGGTGTTCTCAATTATGTAATCTCTAATTTGCAGGAATCTAAAGAAATGCTGTCCTGGCAAATTAAATTTTGAAACAATAGTTTCAAAAGGCAGTATGTTTCCCTCCTCAAAAAGATTATCCATTATACATATACGACAGGCTGACCAAAGATTGAAGCCCTGATCTAGAGTACTTGGTAGGAACTCTGGGTTATTTAAAATTGGCAGAAAAGGGGAGTTTGTGTCAATTCTATCTTCCAATATTTGGATGTAACGCCATGCCTTAAAAGTGTTACGCACTTAAGAACAAATAGTAATTACTTCAATTTTAAAAGTAACACATTACTTTGCTCATTACTTCGAAAAGTAACTTGTAATCCGCTACCCTCAGCACTGCAAATGATAATATTTCGCCCATCCCCAACAATGATTCCGATTGTTTGCTAGTTTTGTCTCTAGAATATAAATTCTTTCGAAATGACGTGAGTAGATCTGGCAGGAAATTTAATTATTGTGCAAACTAAACCTCAACAAGTTTGCTCTGCAATCAGCTCCGCATGCTAAGAGGAACTGATCAATCGCCACGTGATCTTACAGGAACTACATTTGTGCTCATTCAGTCTCAGGTTTCACAATATTGTGATAAGGCATTTCCTTCACTTACTGCAAAAATAATTCAGAAATGTACAGCTTCACATTAGTGTACTTTGATCAATTCCTCCTCTTTTTCTCTCTTCTCGATCTGTATCGGAGTCTGTTCATTATTCATCAGGTGATTGATGACTCTTCAAACAGTGAGCTCATTCTTGTTTAGCCGTACACAAGAGGAGCATGTGCTGTTGTGTCATCAACTGCATGACTAACTCAACTGCCTCAACCGGCACCCAATGGAAAGTTTTTTTGTTTTTTTTTGTTTTTTAGCGATACTATGAGGAAACAGAAATGAGAAACTCACCCAGTGACACCACCGCCACACTCTCAGGCAAAAAGTGCAGCTTGAACTTGATCAGCAGGTGGACCAGTATAATACAAATACCTGTGAAAATGATTCATACAAATATATTAGAAATCTGACAAAAAAAAAAACACAGCCATATTTATATGTGAGTTTTATATGTGAGTTTAGCAGTATTTGTTTAAAATACATAGCAAACATATTGGTGTTGTAAAAAATACAAGTATTTTCAAATAGGAGTTTGTTAATATTTTTTGTTTTTATTCCAATAAAAGAAATAATTAAAAAACTTCAGTTTTCACAAAATAAATACATATATTATATATAAGGCGAAGCAGTGGCGCAGTAGGTAGTGCTGTTGCCTCACAGCAAGAAGGTCGCTGGTTCGAGCCTCGGCTCAGTTGGCGTTTCTGCGTGGAGTTTGCAGGTTCTCCCTGCATTTGCGTGGGTTTCCTGTGGTGACCCCAGATTAATAAAGGGACTAAGCCGACAAGAAAATAAATAAATGAATGAAATTTTATATATATCAACACAAACAATATCACGTATGTATGTGTATTTAGGGTAATTTTGAAACTCCCCTATACCTATTTTGGACTTGTCTCTGCCTCCTGAATCATACATTCATATACAAGTCATTCTATATACATTCATTAATTTTCTTGTCGGCTTAGTCCCTTTATTAATCCGGGATCGCCACAGCGGAACGAACCGCCAACTTATCCAGCAAGTTTTTACACAGCGGATGCCCTTCCAGCCGCAACCCATCTCTGGGAAACATCCACACACACATTCACACACACTCATACACTACGGACAATTTAGCCTACCCAATTCACCTGCAACACATGTCTTTGGACAGTGGGGGAAACCAGAGCACCCGGAGGAAAAACACACAAAGGCAATGAGAACATGCAAACTCCCCACAGAAACGCCAACTGAGCCGAGGTTCGAACCAGCGACCTTCTTGCTGTGAGGCGACAGCACTCATATATATATATATATATATATATATATATATATATATATATATATATATATATATATATATATGTGTGTGTGTGTGTGTGTGTGTGTGTGTATATATATATATATATATATATATATATGTATGTATGTACATATATATATATATATATATATATATATATATATATATATATATATATATATATATATATATATATGTATATATATATAATGAGTGCTGTATATAGTATATAGTTTAAATTCAGACAGTTCAAATTAAACAGTTAAGTCTCACTGTATAACATTAAACATCGTACATCCATTAGCTAGTAATTAATAGACAAGAGAACATGCTGCGCCTTTAGTCTGAATGGTGTTTGTGCTGTTACTCAAACCTACAGTGGTTTATAATTACACTTTAGGCTAGATTATACATCTAGTATCCAAGACATCATGAACGATTTCGACAAGCGGGCCTGCATAAGACGTCATGGATTTGATGTAAGTCTACACTAAGACAGAACAATACCATCAACACACTCCACTGAACACAAACACTCATGGAAACAACATCAACAAATGAAATCACAGGAGACGCATTACAAATCATCAACACCCAACCTGAGACCCCTGAGCTTTTAAGTGACACAAAAAAAATACGAGGTGGTTCGCTGTGACGTATCTGATTCAGTGGTGTCAGGTTTCCTTGGCAACGAGGAGTAAATACAGTCTGATGAGTCAGTGGCAAGCCAAAAAACCAGAGCAGCTCCAGAAATCATGAGTGAAGCATTACGATTTAAATACGTGTTAATGTAAACGGCAGAACCATGAGGCTGATGCTTAGGCTAAATACTTTGAACTGATACCAGAGAGGAGCTAGAAGGAGATGGGAAAGGCTACTTTCAATAGGAAGGCCCTGCTGAAAAATCCAGCTTAAACCAGCCTAGACTGATTGGCTGGTTTTAGCTTGGTCAACCAGGCTGGTTTTAGAGGGGTTTTGGCCACTTCCAGGCTGGTTTCCAGCTATTTCCAGCCTGGTTTTGCCTGAACAGGCTGGGAGATGACTAGCTAAAACCAGCTTGATCAGCCTAGCCAGGCTGGGAGCCCAGCCAAAACCAGCTTTGTCCAGCTTAAACCAGGATGGTCAAACTGGTTTTAGATGGTCACTTTCCAGCCTGACCAGCTAATACCAGGCTGGAAATGGCTGGAAATGGCCAAAACCCCTCTAAAACCAGGCTGGTTGACCAGCTAAAAGCAGCCAATCATCCTAGTCAGGTTTAAGCTGGAGTTTTCAGCAGGGGGTTCAACTAACTTGGAGTTAAAACGTGAAATCTGAATGTTATTCATTTGAACTCTGAGTAGGCTGACTCTGAGTTAATCACATACACCAGAGGTGTCAAACTCAGTTCCTGGAGGGCCGCAGCCCAGCAGTTTAGTTTCAACCCTGCTTTAACACACTTACCTGGAGGTTTCAAACAAGTCTGAAGGACTCAATTAGTTTGATCAGATGTTAGGGATGCTCATTTCGGTTAATTTTGCCAACAGATAACCACCGTTCTTAACTGAACATTAACCATATATATATGGTTATATATATAAATATTAACTGGTCCTATTAATATTAAATCCGCATTTAATTTTAAAAATAATAATAATTGACGTGTGTATTTTTAGTTAATTTTAGCAACCAGTAACTGCCACTTGTTAACCAAATATTAACTGGTCAATTTAGATTAATGTTAAATCAGATTAATGTTAAACTGTTATTTAATTTTAAAAAATAATAATTAATGTGTGTATTTTGTGTCTGACACATGAAGGGCCCTATCATACACCCAGCACAATGTGGCGCAAGGCGCGGCGCAATAGTCTTTTGCTACTTTTAGCTCGGCGCAAGGGTCATTTTGAGGTGTTGCGCCACACTGTTTAAATAGCAAATGCATTTGTGCTCAAATGTGCGCCCATAGGCGTTCTGGTCTAAAAAAGCAGGCGTGTTTTGGAGCGTTGCTATTTTGAGAAACTGTAAATAGTCTGTTCTTTAGACCAGAACAAAGTCGGTCTATTGTCTGGCGCAAAGTGCTTACACACTACACACAAGATGGAGAGCAATACGCAAATATCTTTACATATGAAAAATATATAATATCTTAAATATATATTGACGTAAAGTTAGTTCACTTTCGCTTTTGCTCTCGTGGATAGGGAAACCTTACCGCACAGACATCAATTAGCCTATAAATAATTAATTTCGCTTGTTAAGCGCAAAGATTTATTTCAAAACTATTTCTAAATTCAGTTCTAATTTCCAGCAAACGATTAAATGAACAATAATAACCAAGTGTGGTCAAAATACCGAGTTATTTCCAAATACACATGCCATGCCCGATATGGTCTAAAATTTGACAGGTGGGCAAATCTAAGCTTGTTTTTAATAAAACAAATATAAATATGAATATAATAAATAATACTGCTAATAATAATAATAACATTATAAAAGCAAATTGAATGAACTGAAAAAGCCTCCCGAGATAAAGAAAGTAAGGCAGGGGTTTTAAAATCTTCATGTAGGCTAGAAATTAAAATGTTATGTAATATTTGAATCATTTATATTTAGATCCTGTATAAATAGGATATAGAGTTTGCATGTTCTCTCTGCGTTCGCGTGGGTTAATTAGTCCGTAGTGTATGAGTGTGTATGTGTGAATGTTTCCCAGAGATGGGTTGCGGCTGGAAGGGCATTCGCTGCGTAAAAACTTGCTGGATAAGTTGACGGTTCATTCCGCTGTGGCGACCCTGGATTAATAAAGGGACTAAGCCGACGAGAAAATGAATGAATGAATGAAACTAATTTGTTTAAAAAATAGTTGAAAAAACTGTTCTCTCTCTGTTAAACAGAAATTGTGGGAAAATATACAGGGAGCTATTAATTCAGGATGTCTAACAATGACTTTACCTTTTCACTCGCCAAAACAGTTGATTTTTACACACTGTGTGCTTTGTAGGCAAGATAAAGCATGTCAAGTTTACCTGTGAAGTACATATGACATGACATGGGGCAGAAAAGTAAATATATCATAACCACAAATTTGGAATTCCCTCCCACGGATTGTTTCATTTCCTGGTTTTAGTGATATCATTACTTTACTGTAATACTGCATTCCTTTTAAACAGCCAAGGAAATGGACACAGATTAGTAAGCCAAGGGAGTTTATTAACCAGCAATGGAACTGAATTTTCTGTATGTCTGCATGGGCAGGACAATATATAGTTTCAGCATCAATATTGCAATGTGCACATACGAAACAGTTACATCGCAGGATCTGTAATATCGAGTAGGGGTTACAATTGACCAGATAACGCAGTTCAAAACATCGTGGAGTCTAAAGTTTAATACAGTCAGATACTGTTAAATTTGATTGTGTTTATCTGACTTGTGACTGTACGATTTCAAGTAAATTTGTGTATAAGAAATCATATCTATCTATCTATCTATCTATCTATCTATCTATCTATCTATCTATCTATCTATCTATCTATCTATCTATCTATCTATCTATCTATCTATCTATCTATCTATCTATCTATCCATCCATCCATCAATCCACTCAGCCATCCAGCCATCCAGCCATCCAGCCATCCACTCACCCACCCGTCCATCCATCCATCCATCCATCCATCCATCCATCCATCCATCTATCTATCTATCTATCTA